CGCCGCGCGGCGCGGCGCGGTGCGGCAGCTGCGGGGCGGCGGCGGGCAGCGCGCGGCGCTGCTGCGGGAGCTGTCTGAGCTGCAGTGGCTCAGGGGGCGGGGCTCCGTTGACTTTGGGGACCTGCTCGTCCCGGCGTCATACCACGCCCCTGGCAGCCATGGAGGCGGGGACGGCAGCCCCGGCGAACAAGAAGCAGGGACCTGTGGCGGCGGCGTGCCGGCCGTGCTGCCGGTGCCGGTGCTGTCGACGCTGCTTGAGATCCGGTTTGTGCGGCTGGTGACGGCGGCGGTGCTGCCCACAGCCGCCGTTGGGGCGCCGGCGGGCAACCTGGAGCTGGCCAGGCGTTGAGCGCCTCCTGTGGTGCAAGGCGCCACTGTCTGCTTGTCTGACACACGCAACGGTTGCTATGAGTGGATTGCAGTTGTAGCACAGATAGCCTCAGGCGTCCTGTCAGACAGCCACTTATGTATCATATGCTTTCAAAGTGCTCGCTCGCTCTCCACTCGCCTGACTGTTTCTTTCATGATGTCATCATGTGTCATAGATACGCCGCATTCGGCGGCAGCAGGGCGCTGCAGGCTGGCAGCGCGCACAAATCAATGCGTTTGATTGCCGGGTGAGCTAGCTCGGTGTTACAATTATAAGCCCAGATGCGAGTCCGGTGGGCTGTTGGGCCGCGGTCGGGGAAGAATACCGCGGCGCAGCGTATTTGGGATTTTTACCCAGGCAGACCTGCGAGGCCACGGCGCTCCGACGCGGGTCGGATCAGCAGCGTGGGGGCGCCGGTGAGCATTGGCACCTCAAACGCAAGGCTTGAGGCGAAGAAGTGCGTTGCAGCCACAGGCGGGATATGAGCTAGTTTGTAGAGTTGAAATACTCGGGGCCGCGCCTGCTCGCCGGGGCCAGTCGCAGGGCAGGACACTGCATGTCCACAGGACCCGCAGCGGTTGGCACGGGGCGAGGCGGACAGAGGCCTTTGCTGGCCACCAAAAGGCACAACACTGCGGAACGGATTGGATACGCTGCTGCTACCTGGGGGGTCCGGGAGCTGCCTGCGGCAGGTGCAGCTGCCCGCCCGTCGGCAGGGACCCGCCCGCAACAGGCGGCGGCCCCGGCGGCCGCAGCATGACCGGCGGGGCCCCAATCGGCGCCGGCGGCCCCGGTGGCCGCAGTCCGAGCTGCGGAGACGGCGCTAGGCCGCGCGCGGGCAGCGGCACGCCCGCAGCCGTCGGCAGGGGTGCGGGCGCCGGGGGCCCCGGCGGCGCCGAGGCCTGCTGCTGCTGCTGGTAGTGCTGCTGCTGCTGCTGCTGCTGCTGCTGCTGCTGCTGCTGCTGCTGCTGCTGCTGGGGCGGCGCCGAGGCGGAGGGCTGCTGGGCGCTGGCGCCTGCGGAGGGCTGCTGGGCGCTGGCGCCTGCGGATCTGAATTTCCCGGCCGCGTATCGCGACAAGGACGCACGCCGCTCCTCGATGGAGCAAACCTCATCTGTCCACACCAGGTCAGCGTCAGCCGCGCCCCCACCCTCCGCC